CTTCCTACAGTGGCTGTACAGATCTACAAGCCCACCAGCAGTGACTGAGAGTGCCTATCCCATCACATGTTTTGCTTTCTGTTTTTTTTTTGAATTGGCCTATCTTTGTGGGTGTTAGGTGGTATCTCATAGTTGTTTTAATGTGCATTTCCTGGATGACTAATGTTCGGGAACATTTTCTCATATGTAATTGGCCATTCGGGTTTTCTCCTTTGTGAATCTTCTGTTCAAGTCTTTTGCCCAACTCCTCAGTGGGCTGTTCTTTTTGTTGTAAGGTAGCATGGTTCTGTAGATATTAGTAAGAAGTGCTTTATCTGATATGTCATTACTAAATATCTTTTCCCAGTCTGTGAGCACTCTTATTACTCTGTTGCTGAAGTCTTTTGATGCACACAAATGTTTTTTAAAAAATTTCTGTATTTATTAAAAGTTCATTTTATTGGAGGCTCTTGCAGCTCTTATAACAATCTATATACATCAATTGTATCAAGCATATTTGTACATATGTTGCCATCATTATTTTCTAAAAAACATTTTCTTTCTACTTGAGCCCATGTTATCAGCTTCTCATTTCCCCCCCTCCTTTCCCACCTTCTTGCCCTCATAAAACCTTGATAATTTTTAAATTATGATTATTTTTTCATGTCTTACACTGACCGATGTCTCCCTTTACCCATTTTTCTGTTGTCTATCCCCCTGGGAGGGAGTTATAGGTAGATCATTGTGATCATTTTCCCCTTTCTCTCCCTACCTTTCCCTTACCCTCCTGGTATCACTACAATCATTATTGGTCCTGAGGGGTTTACCTGTCCTGAATTCCCTGTGTTTCCAGCTCTTATCTGTACCAGTGTACATCCTCTGGTCTAGCCAGATTTTAAAGGTAGAATTGGGATCATGATAACGGAGGGGTGTAAGCATTGAAGAACTAGAAGAAAGTTGTATGTTTCATTGGTGCTATACTGCACCCTGGCTTGTCTCCTCCCCAGACCATTCTGTAAGAGGATGGCCAGTTCTCCACAGATGGGCTTTGGGTCTCTAGTCCGCACTCGCCCTCATTCACAATGATAAGATATTTTGTTCTGGGTTTTTGATGCCTGATTCCTGATCCTATTTTTGTAGTCCTTTTTTAAAAAAATGTATTTCTTAAATTTTTTCTGATTTGGGAAAACTCTTACCTCCCTGTCTATTTTGATGGAGAGTTTGGCAGGGTAGAGGATTCTTGGGTTAGCGTTATTCTCCCTCAACTTTCGGAAAATCCTACTCCAATCTCTCCTCTTTTTCATGGTTTCTGCTGATATATCTGAGCATCATCTTATCTGATTACCCTTATAGGTGACCACATTATTTTTCTCTAGCTGTTCTTATGATTTTTCTCTTTTTCCACAAAGTTGGATAGTTTGAAAACTTTGGGCCTTGGCTTGTTCTTCTTGGAGTTCAGTCTAATTGGTGTTCTCTCTCCTTCCTAGATTATTGTTTTGTTTTCCATCATTAAGTTGGGGAAGTTTTCTTCTTGGAATCCCCTCACTTTTTGATTGTTGATTTCTTCGTTTTTGCTTTCTCCCATATCCCAGTTACATGAATACTGTTCCTCTTCATTGTGTTGCTCATTGTTCTCAGGTTTTCTTCAACTTCTTTGATTATCTTGTTTCATTGTTTTCCCCATTGGTTGACTTCTGCTTGACTATCTTCATAGTTGCTGATATGATAGCTAGTTCGCCTCTTCTACCCTCTCAGGAAGGTCTTTTACCGGTCTCTTCGCTTATGCTGCCTTGTCCCTTAACTCTTGTATTTGCCTTTGGAAAGTGGATTCTGCCCACTCTATTTTTTTCATTCTTCTGTATCAATTCCCTGATATCCCAAATGATTCTAAGCATCATTCTGAAGATTTCTTATGCCTCTTAGTTCAGATCCTCTTCAGACATTATGCTTTGTTTCTCTTGCTTTCTTGCAGTGATCGATGATATGGATGGTAGTTTATGAGGCATTTTGGTGTTGCTGTTGGTGGTCGTTGATGTGTGATGCATCAACGGATGGACTGGGCTGGCCAGGCCGTGTGTGGCCCAAGTGGCGTTGCAGTGTGCTATAGATTGGCAGGACCCTCGAGCAGCAGGGTGGACCCTTGCCACAGGCCACAGGCTGCACTGGCTACATGTCTGGTCAGGTTGCCTTGTCCTCAGACTCCACAGGCAGCGCTGGCAGAGGGGCGGGACCCTGGTCACGATTATGATCAATGGGGCTGCCCTAGTGGCCTGGACAGTGTAGGCTGCGTTGGTTGGATCTGTGGGTCCCATGGGTTCCGCAGGCATGCAGGCAGTGGTGGGTGGGGTGTTGCAGGGAAGCGGAGTGCACTGCAGCTACAGATCTTTGGCAAATAGCAGCAGGATGTCGGCAGCAAGGGTGGTGAGTGGACCACAGGCAGCTGGGCCCTAGGGCTGCCAGCTGTGAGTGGCAGGGTGAGGGGCCTGGAGGCTCCATTCTGTAGTGATGGGGTCTGTGGGCCACGATCAACACCAGGTGAGGCCACGGATCATAAGTGGTAGCGGTTGAGCCTTTGTTTATGAGGCACGTGCGCAGACCACCGGCAGCAATCCAGTCTGATGATGTCTGGGCACCAGGTTACATGCAGCTGCAGCTCAACAGCACATGTAGAGGGGCAGGGCTAATCAACACCATGGAGAAGGTCAAGCCCACGCCAGAACAAATCCTGGGATGCCATGCACTCGGTGGCACATCCCAGATCTCACTCTCAGCCTCTCACCCCCCAGAGCCAACAATTACCTCCAGAACTCCCAACACGGTTACGTCTAGCTCGCTGCCATCTTCCTTGAAGTCCCCATGCACTGAAAGGTTTTAAAGGACTTACTAGTTTAGTTTTTCTCATAGCATTTTTCATGAAGGTTACTACATATTACAATATATGCTAAATAACATGATTAAGTGTAAAGCCTATCAACAAGTATGAAGGATCTTCAAAACGCTCATGGAGCATGGAATTGAAAGGTAGTGGAATTTTCCCTCAAACTTTTTGAAGTACCCTCCTGTTTGTCCTTAAATTTTTGAGAATGAAATTTACACTTTGGCTTCAATACAGGACACTGTTTTCAATTGAATACTTGGATTCTGAATGAGTTTATTTCAAATTACCCAGTGACACGTTTAACTTCAGGACATAGTCCCCCAGAATCAAAGAATCTGATAGACCATTTCTTTAAGGTTTTGAGAGTTTTGTGATACACATACAGGAAAAAAGATATATGGTCATGCAGAGACTGAAAATTCCTGACAGTCAGTAATTGTCCATTGATTAGAGTGTGCGTAATGTCCTTTAAACAACCATGCGTGAAGAAGGCGAGCACTCAGCTGAAGGTCTGAAGGACTTGGACACGTCTATGGTGTGTGCTTGACTGAAGAATGGCAGCCCACTCTTCTCTGTGTGACAGGGAAGCGGTGAAGTGGTTTCCTTCTGCCTAACAGCCGAATAGCCAGGGCAGGAAGTCCGTAGGGCTGAGGTGACTCTGTAACACCAGACTGATGTTCTCTGAGGTTTAAGTAATGAAAACACATCCCCTGAACCAACCTCAGATTATTTTTTTAAACAAAAGTTACCTTTTTATCTCCTTTTAGATAGTTTTTCATAACTCATCCTTACACATTTGTGTCTTTTTATAAAAATTAAG